GAGAGCGCAAAGAAAGCACAGCGACAGAGCCCACAGGAGGGGAACAGCTCCTGCCCGAGGCCTGCTCACTTCCTCCTGTGTTCCCCAGACGTCACCAAGGTTAAACGTGGACACATTTCCAAGCAGAGTAAGACAGTTTTCTTGTTTGTTTTTGCTATTTTGTTTCTAAACATTACCTCAAAGCCCTAAGACTTAGTCTCATTTTTATAATTTTGCCAGCATTTAACCCAAAGCAACACAATTCTTGCTAATATTCAGCAGCTTAAGTATTTGTTGGAATAAAAAGGCTATTTTCAAGAAAATCCGATTAGAAAGCGGTATTCTACACTTCAATTACCAGAGGGCTCAGCCCTTTGTTCCTTCAGGACTACGACAGCCTGGCACTGGGCTGGCCACACATTTACCTGGATTTCTGACTCCAGCACAATTCAGGGGTGTTCTGCTGGGGTGCGAAGGTGAGCATTTAAACTTACCCTCGGGGTGAGACAGGTTTTATTACCAAAAACTTAGAATAAAACTGTTTCGCTTTTCTAACCCAATTTCTGTGTGTGTGTGTGTGTGTGTGTGTGTGTGTGTGTGTGTGTGTTTTAAACAAAATGCTTCTGAGCTGACAAAGCAGGTCTCCTATTCTGTTTCTAAAGAACAAGCCCAGGCTCGGGGCTGGCTTTCCTGAGAACCTGACCTCCTGGACCACATCCCAGGCCTGCAGGGAAGGTTTCCACAGCTCACTGGAGCAAGTGAAGGGCAGAGAGAGGCCAGCAATTACACACACACCGGGGATCGTTTCCTGCAGCCTAATTAGGCTTCTGAGCCCGAGCGGGCTGCCTCCAGAGGCAGACTCAGTCCCACGGGGACAACTGAATGCCTGCAGTTCCCTCGCGATGAACAGGGTACTCCGCAGCCCGCACACTGGGGTGACAGGTGGGGTAGCTATAAGGAAAGCCTCACATTAGAAACGTACCCACAGGTTTAGGTGGCACAGACATTAAAAAAAAAAAAAAAGGCCAGCGAAATCCCCACTGTGGCCAGTGAAGACTGTTCCCGCGTGGAGCTGTGATGGCCCCTGCTCTCCCACCCTCCTCCCTGCTTCTGGGATGTCCCAATATTCCACACGGAGTGTCCGTTACTCCTGTGCATTTGCACAGATTTCCCTGTGCTCCTTGGACACTATCAAGCTATATCTGAATCTTCTCTGGGCCCCACAGGGCTTTGAGGAGCAGCCACTTAGGGGACAGCCCACAACCTCAGAGCTGAGTTGAGCCCCAGCACTGGCACCTACCCTCCTTGTGATCTTAGGAATCTGGTCCCTGGGTGACTCTCAGAGTTCCTGACTACAGATTCAGGGACTCAACATGGTTTATTCTCAGGTGCTGAAGTGCAAGAAGTATTGTCATCAGTGAAATGCACTTGTCAACTAGGCACCGACCTGCAGCTTTGAGTTATCACTATGGCCTTGCCACCCACAATGACAAGTCAAGGGGGCCGTGGTCTAAGGACAGACAGAGGTGTCACCATTCGTTTGGGACAGAAACGTTTTCCTCTGCATTGGGTTTCCCTCGTTACTCACTAATGCTCTTCCTGGCTATTTTCTTCCCCAGGTCACTGTTTCATCAAAAGGCTTTAAGGACCTGCTGCTCTGGCACAGTGGGACCTGAAGAGTTTCTAAAATGTCCCCTCACATAGCCAAATGTGGCCAGGGTCCGCAGCACCCAGATCCTTAGCCCTGGCGTGGGCCACAGCTGCTCCTGCCTTCCTGTATGGAGACTCCTCTGAGCCTCACAGATGGCCCCATCACGCAGCGAGACGGAGGAAGAAAGGTTCACGGGTTTCACTTTCCAAAGAAACACTGCTGACGCTGTGCAACTCACATCCTTCCCTGGGGTTCCCCAGCACTAATGTCCTGCAGAATTACAGTGCATTTCTGTTTTCTCTTCCCTCCCTGGGGCTGAGCTTTTAAAGACAATGCTTGTTTTCAAGAGTTTTCATTCATGAAAACTCTGAAATTCATGCCCCCGAGGTAGAAGACACCTGTGTTGTCAGTTGTCTCTGAAATGCTCCCCTTCCTAAGCAGCTGGAGAAGAGCCGTGTGATGTGCTGCTGGCTTCCCTGATGGCCGGCGCCTTGGGGTCTTTGTGCCCTTCCACAAGGCGCAGCCCACACGATTCAGCTGGTCTCCACTAGGAATTGGCTGAAACTCACCGAATCCCACACCTTTAGGTACTTGTGGGGTTGTGGCAGTGCTGGCTTGGGAAGGCGCTGGGTAAACTGAGGCATCTGTGACCCAGAACTGACAACTCAAAAGCGTAAACCTCAAACATCATCAAGGGGCCACTCAAGCAGAGCAAAGGACCCAACCTGCGGGTCTTGAACCATGGGCCTCGCAGGCCAAGAGTCCGCCCTGCTGAGCTTGGTATGCAGCCCACCCAGCACCAGGGAGACAGGGAGGTCTGGGAACAACCTTGCACTGAAGCCACCTACTCTCCTGAAAAGCCAGCTCCCATGGACACACAGGGCCCAGCCCGGGCTTCTGATCCTCAGTGTCCCTACTCACCCTGCACTGCCACTGCTGCCAGACTGGAGGCTCTGCTCCATGCACTGTTAGCTTTTCGTCACTGTGACAAAGTGCCTGGGATGGTCAGCTCTTCTACTTTGTTTTTGATGGTAGTGGAGATGGCACCCAGGGCCAACACCATTTTGAAACATTTTTAAATTTTGAGACAGGGTTTTGCTAAGTTGCCCTGGGTGGGCACCAACTTTTGATCCACCTGCCTCCGCCTCCCAGAGGACTGGCATGGCAGGTGCACAGTGGTGAGCCCAGCTGAAATAACCAGCTTTAGAGAGGTTATTTTTGCTCAGTTTCAGAGGATTCTGTCGATGATCAGCTGGCAACAATGCACCTGGTCCGGCAGACGGGCAGGAGATCCTGGCTGTGGAAGCTCCTCACCTCCTCCCGGCTGCTGGGAAGTGGGGACGGCGCAGGTAGGACATGCCTGTGACCTTTGACCCCACCAGGCTCCTCCCCTTCAAGGTTCCACCACGTCTCAACAGCATCTACCTGGGTTCCAAGCCTCTAACATAGGCGTCTTTGGGGATGAATATCCCAGGTCTAAGCTTGGAAATTGCTGGTATGGATCATCAGGTCTGCCTGACCTCAGAGCTCTTCATGTTGCAGGCACATTCCAGGTATGATGGTCCTGTATTCTGTGGTTACAGCGTGCTCAGCAATGTGCCATCTTCTCCCCATTGGATAGCCGGGCCCTCAGCCTTGACAACCAGGTGTACTTCAGTGTCACTGAATGTGACTCCACCCCAGCAGCCCCACAGTGGACAGTGTAACACCAGCCACTGAGGGGCCACAGAGCCCACAGGGCAGGGAACTCACACTCTTCAAAAGCAAATGATCAGTTTGCAAGTAGGGGCTCGGGTTTTAGCTTTTCATGAAACATCACCAGAAAAATCAATCGGGAGCCCACCTGTGCTGTGATTCCAGGTTGCATGGAGGTTTCGGCATCTGGGGCCTTGGCAAGCACCTTAGTAACTTGGTGACTGTCACCAGTGTGTGGCTGTCACCGATCTCCTAACCTATAACTTGCTGGATGGCAGTCTCATTCCCACGTGGCCCTGCTCATGATGCCTTCCTCAAGTCTTTGTCATTTGTTATGTGAAGCAATAATCTGCACACAAGGCAAAGCGAATGTTCTATACTCAGTGGAGAATTAAAAAATCAAATTGACTGAACCTTTGGGGGTCTTGCAACCATGGACCTTCGGCTCACTCAACCCTGAATGCAGATGGTGATAAAGGACCAAGTCCTGAGCTCCATTGTGGTCAAGCCCACACTGGACAACTTAGCAAGATCATCTCTAAACAATATTTTAAAATGGGGTGGGTGACTTCTTAATGCAAATGACCTGTGGAAGGCTTCTCCCCCTTCCCGTGTTTTAATACTAGGGATTGAATCCAGGACCTGGGGGGGGAGTAGCCTTCCACAGGTCATTTGCATTAAGTCCTAACTGCTCCAACTGTGGCCCCAGATTCAGCCACCAGGCATCACCCAGGAAGTGGCAAGAAATGCAGAGCCTCAGCCCCTGCTCTGAACCTGCAAACTTACCAGCCTCTCCCAAGAGGTCAGGGGAGTCACAGGTGCACAGAGGAACAGTGGTGAGGAAAGCGAGGAGCAGAAGTCACCCAGGCTCGGCAGCCTGCAAGGCTGCACACCCTTCCGGAGAGCAGCAGTTGTCCACTGATTTGCAGGACTTGAATAAATGTCCTCCGGGAAAGCCAGCGAGGGCAGGGGGACCAGGGTGGGACCCCAAAGCCACACACAGTGCTCAAAACTGTCCTGCAAATCAATACAGAGCATGCTGCAGTGGCCTCTGTGCCCCTCAAAGGGGCTTCTGGGAGGGTTAACTTCTGAGTTGTGACTCAGAACACCGAAGACTCTGTCCCAGCCCCCAAGGATGGGGAAAGGACAGGCAGGGTTTGCTGGAAGGGTGGGTATCTAGTCACCACCGATCACTGAGAAAGGGAGGTGCTGGCTAGAACTTCTAGCCCAGGTTCTTTAATTTCTTTATGGTTTTTAAAATGAAATCAGGAAAGGTTATTGGATGGTAAACAGATTTAAAAATTTTAACAAATTGTTAGTAAAAAGGACTTTTCACTTACAGTGCAGACATATTCAAATATTTGCTTATAACTTACCTTGCCTTCAATAAAGAATTTGGTGCCAGTGTTTACAGTGAGATGGCAAAAGATAACTAACTGCTGCGGGGGGACAAGAGTGGCCTTCCCACCTCTCTTCCTGTGAATGGTAATGAACGCATCTCATGTTCCTGACCCACACACAGGCGCCACCTTCGTCCCCAGCCATGAACACAGATGACATTCTTGTCCCCACTCTCAGAGCCACATGGTACAGCACGTTCTACCCTCCAGGCCTCTGGGGACACCAAAGGCCTAGCTCATGCCCTTCCCAGTTACGACACACGAGAAACACGGCCTGGCATTGTCAACAGTGTTTTATTTACAAAGAATTGTTTCTGTTTGACCATTTGGAAAACCACTAACATTTTTCACCATAGAAAACATTAAATAATACACAGGATGTTATACAGTACTTTGGATAACTTCTTCCGTCCGTTCAGTGCAATGTTTGGCACCTAAAAGTGAAATTTCCAATTATTTTCCACTTTGATCTTCAACTGTGCAGTTATAGGACCCAAAAGGAAATGAATCATTTAAAATGCATCTAAGACTGTATTTTCTGGCTTTTCCACAAAGGCTCAATGATTTCAATTCCTCTCCATCCCTGTCTCAACCAAATTAAATTACAAGGATCAGCTCTTGGGCCTCCTGTTAAATGTCAGGACCATTTCATGGAAACTTTACCAGGAAAGAAACACTTCCAGTTCACATGAAGACAGCACCTGGCCATCCCACAGTGTGAGGAATAAACGGTCCAGGCCAGTTTTCCCTTCTGTTTCTGTCTGCTTTGATCCCACTCGGCTTCGCACAGAAGGAAGCTCTTAGTGAGCTCAGCGCCTTCCCTTTGGCCCCCCGTCCTTTGGGAGGTCAACCAGGAAGAGCTAAGTGACTGCCCCAGCCAAACCGCTGAGCTTTGGAGATTTCCATTACACATGAGTAGCAGGATCCAAACATCTTCTGGGAGACTCTGTGATTGAAGAGCTTTCTCAAAACTTCTTGGGCATGGCCAGGAGGGGCCACGTTCTATGACGGTGAAGGAAGCCTGTCTCAAATAGGTGTGTTTTTATCTCATTCTGATGGATGGATAGAGGGAGAACAAGATCCTGATTTTCACACTTCTTTTTCTATAAAGGACTCCAACAAGTGCCTCCAACAGGCATCACTCCCTCACCCTCCTGTCTAATCCCACATCCTCTTGTTCTAATCTCAGTGGCCACGGGGCACAGGCAGACGCCAGCCTCTCGATGCCACCCCTCACACATGTGACAGCAGCCTACGTTTTGCCCCTTAGGCTCTTCCCGGCTGAATCATCCCAGTTCCTGAATTTCCCATCACAGAGCTCTCTCTCCTCGCCCCTTTAATCATCTTTGTGATTCCTGGTGAAAGCAGAAATACTCTGGTTACTCCCTCAGCCGTGAAAAGCCACAGAGTAAGCTGCCCTTTGAGAGTTAGTGTTTTTTAATAGAAAGGTAAAACGTACAACGAGGAGACCCTGGGGGTTGTGGGTGACAGCACTCCTGTCCTGGCCTCTGCCTGCAATACTAAGCCAGGGTCTCGGTGCCTTTCCAAACCGGCTATCCCCAAAACACGTCAACAGGGTATGACCCGCTGTCTCTAGGGAGCCCCCAGACACCCCCTCTACTTCCTGCTACAAACGGGGCTCCCCCAAACAAGCGGAGCTTTCACAAGCCTCGGGGAACGGCCAGCGAGAGCCAGGTTCTAGGACGGTGAAAGCCCACTGCCGACTCAGCTGGGAGGGTTTTATGTATTAACTAGTTTCTTGTCATCCTGATGGATTATAGTCCTTTGTAAAGATCCAATGCAAGACCAGCAGAGAAATTCCATCACCCCTCCACCGTAACCTGACACCCCACCGTTTTTCCCTTATTGCCAACATAGGGGTCACCACGCTGGATGACATTTTGCCATTTTCTTTTAAAAAACTCAGGAGATCACAAGCTGCCTTTTACTTTGCAACTAGAGTCTGTAAATACCAGGAACACGTAAATATTTAATATCGATAGCACATTTACACAGAACACAGCAACTACTAATGAGGAATTCCGTGCCCACACTACATAAATGTCTTTATAAGAAAAATACAGATAACAAGAATAAATGCATCTTGGTATGTTATACATCCTTCGTTCATAAAGTGAGCAGCAGTGAAAGAGTTCAGGGCGGGCCAGAACTAATCTCACTGGAGGGGAAACCAATTTCACAGGCACGCCTCACATCAGAGCTCAGGGAGCGTCAGCACCATGCATGGCACAGGCCGCGCCGAGTGGAGGGCACCTGCACAGAGCTCTGCAGTTTTCTCCCACGTCTGCTACCAGGATGAAGGATGGTGCGGGGCACACACGTGTGAGGCCTCCCTGCCTGGGCTGCAGGCTGGAGGGTGATTCCCACGCTGGCCTGGATGTGTTTGTAGATGCCGTGACCTCGGGGTGTGTGGAGTCCCTGGGACTGCATGACAGCAGGCCTGTGCCACATGGGTCACAGCCGGACCCCTCTCGGCCCACTGCCTGCTCTTCCAGGCCTGGGGAGAGAGAGGGGAGGAGAGAAGGGAGCACTGGGAAGAGAGGAGGGAGCCACACAGGAGCTGCTGGCAGCCGAGGGGTCACTAGCGCTCCTCAGGGCAGGGGCCCCTTCGCAGGCTCACGTCATCCAGCCCGATCTCCCCGGGGTGGCCGTGCCTCCTCTCGCCCTTGAAGATGACCTGGGTGAGAACACACAAGAGGTCAGGCTGCCTCCCCTAGAGTCAAATGCAAAGCTGGGCAGAAGGTCACACCGGTGCCACGGCCACATCACCTGCAGCTGATTCCCCACCCGAGACTAGAGTCATGGGGAAAATCCTCCTTCAGGCCATGTGACTCAGAACCAGCCACTCCTGACTACAGACCCGGTCACTCTGGGCAGGCTCACAAATGGTCACTCGGCAACAATGGCCCAGGTCAGGAGTAGGAAGAGAGTGACGGGCACCAGGACAGCCTGAGCCAGAGACCCAAGGGACCACAAGCAAAGCTGTCCCTCAGAGGTGTTCCTCGCTGTCCCCTCCCGACTGGTGACGCTTTACTGCTCAGGAATGATGCACAACATCTCAGCCCTCATCCTGCGGGCCTGCCGTGCGGACACCAACACTGCCCTGGCCTTGTGCTTTATCTTTTGTGGAATCCTCTGCTCTTTTTAAACGCAAGAGCTCTGGTTTGAAACCATTTATTTTCTTGTTTTTTTTCCCCAAAGTAATAGGAATATTAAGAACAAAAATTTAAAACTCAAAGAGTCAAACAAACCTAAGTATCCTGCTAAAGCTGTGTTGATGGAGTCTATATTTTCTTTTTAAAACAGTTTGGAGAAACTGTCTCTCTAAACACACATATGGTCTCTTCTAACAAAAGCTTCGTAAGTGTCCACATGAAGGCGACACTTTCCCAAATGCATTTGTCCTTTTGGTGGAACATCATAGGTCATTTTCTTGCTACCATGATGTCATTATTTTTAAAATAAACTTCTTATATTGAACCTAAGCTTTGTCGGTGTCCTGTCTTGAATAAAGCAATGCTTTCTGATTGTATTTCTGGCTTCCCACCCAGGACTGATGGGCCAGGGCCTCTAACAAGGGGAAAAACGAATTTTGAAGAAGCATTCAGCCAGGTGTGGTGGCAGACGCCTAATCGCAGCCCCTTGGTGACTGAGGCAGGAGGAACCACCATGAGACTAAGGCCACCTGGGGTACTCAGTAAGTTCAAGATCGGCCTGAACATCGTGAGATTTCATCAAAAAAAAAAAAAAGAAAGAAAGAAGAAGCATTTAAAAAGAACTACTGCACAGTAATTAATGAATGACAGTAATTAAGGAACTGAAGGAAAAAGAAAGGCAGGCAGAAGCATACTGAAGCTTGTGCTGATTTTTGTTTTTAACTTTTCTACTCACGCTCTTGATATCTGCGCCCCGCAGGGTGATGTGAGTCCACCTCCAGCCACGGCCGCTGTCTCTGCCCCACAGCGCTGCCCCGTGGCTGCCGGGTCTTCTCACGGACACCTGGAGCGTGCCCGAGTGCAGCCCGGTCACCTTGTGCTTGAAGGACAGGCAGAGGTCCCCTGAGTGCAGGAGGTGGCCAAGCGGCAGCACCAGGCGAGCAGCTCTGCCCCCAGGGGCCTTGGCCGCCACAGTCAGGTACTGTCCACCTGCAACAGGAGAGCGGCCAGTGTGGGGCGAGGCCATGGCAGCAGGGACAATGGCCTTGCTCCCTGACTGCATGAACTCAGTCCCCCAAGGCGGCTGCTGGGGAAGGCCTCCAACTTCACAGGGAAGAGACTGCGACTTACTCTCTGTCTGCCTTAAAACTTAAGAAGTCTGCAAAAAATCATTCATGGAGAAGAGAAGTGAGATCAAAGGCATATGACAATCAGCAATGCAAATGCTGTAACTGTTTGCCATGGAACGCATACACAACCTGACACATACATTGCTACACAAACACCCTCGCATGCGTGATCCTGCCCACCTCCGGCTGTGCAGCCCAGCACCCCCACCTCAATGGCTGGGAGTCTCTCGGAGAACTGACCCTACCTATCCCGAGAGGAAGCACCGCATGCAGCAAAGCACATGACATTTAATGAACTTTAGTGACTTATTCTCCTTCCGCTTTAAAAAAAAAAAAAATCTTTAAATACCCATAGCACTGGCTATGCTGGCCACACTGGTCACTCCTAACTCCAGGAAGACTCGGGCACCTGAAAACCCTCCACCTCTTCCAGGGGCAGCGACTGTACTGGACAGAAGGGGCTGAAGGCAGTCCGGCAGGGAGTCAAAGCTGTGGCGGCATACCTGCTTACCCACTAACCCGTTTTCTTTTAGTGCATGTAAGTGGACGCCCCACCTTAAACTTGCACTTAACACGGAATGTCTGGTGTCATCCTCTGTCTTCTACAAAGTCACTTCCCCCCATGGTTAAGAGAAGTGCAATTAAAAATCACACGTGTAAGCAGTGGTGTGACAGGCGTGCTGCCCTCAAGAGAAAGTAACAAGGCTGGACGTTTACCTCAGTGGCACAAGCGCCTGCCTGGCAAGTGCAAGGTCACGAGTTTGATCCTCGGTACAAAAAAAAAAAAAAATAACCACAGTAACAAACAGTATTTTGAAACTCCATCTGGGCCCACATGACACTGGTTTTGGGTGGTTTTATGTTCCTGCCAAATAAGGCAGTATACGGTTCTGGTACAATCTACCACCGGGAAGGAGCAGTGCGAGCCCAGGAGGCTGGGAATGACTCAAGTCACCACTGAACTTTCTCCTGACTTTGATTCCCCGTATGCTCCTCGAGCAAAGCAGGTGTGTATGATCACTGAATGAGTGGATGGAGTTTCAGGAAAGCAAAGAACAGGTTCTTGGTGTCCATGTCTAAACCACAGAACGTGTAATTGCTTATCTTCTTTCCTACCTCCCCCAGCCTGCCCAAGTTAATCCAACAGACACACTGGCAACACACCACGCGGATGTCAGCTGCCTCCCTGTGAGCCAGCGCTTGAGCCGCACACACTCTGGTGAACCTGAAGGCTCAAGGTTACTACAGAGACCCCGAGCGTTCCAGCTCACAGGTGTTGGCTTAGTCCTGACAGAGTGTAACTAACCGCGTTTTGAGCTGCTACCTGCAAACAGAACAACCTAAAAAATCATGGTATCCTGATAGAAGATTCAAAACTTTTCATGTACATACTCAAAGTTCCAAAATTAGCTAGGAATAAAAGATATTACTGTTATTTTTTCTCCACAGAGCTGTTCTGTATCAGGTTCTGCTCTTCCTACTGTAAAGATATGAAGTGAAATGTCACAAAGTTGGATGATAACTAAGAGAAAATTAATCCAGCAGAGACAACAAAAATTTGCATGTCGCCCCCCCCCCCCAAATTTTGCATGTCTGAGCCCAACATACTGGCTTAAATATAAAACTATTCAATATTTTCCTTCAATTTAACACCATGACATCTAAAGAATTAGGGCAAGGGGAATAGTAAATAATAGTAGATGCTGGCTGCCAACTTGGCCAGGAGGTTGGTATTTAAAAATTAATGTTCTTATCTTTAATTCTATACTTGCTGGTGCCCTTACAATCTTAACTTACAAAGTGAACAATGTCATACCCATTACATGAATGTGTGAACTGTGTGCTCAAAGGAAGAGAGGAAGGGCTGTGGGGTTCTGCAGTGATTTTATTTGTTCTTTAGAGCCTAGCTGAGGAACCCAGGTAGAAATAAGATCATTATGGCTTGGTGCCTTTCTCCCCAGATGCAAACAGTCTGATTTCTACTGACAGGGATGAGGAAGTGGGGGAGGGGGAGACACAAAGAAATTTGTAGTATTACAACTTGTTTTTTCCACTAAATATATCATAGACTTTTTTATGTTAATAAACATATTTTTCATAGCTATAAGTATGCCAAGCATCATCTAGCCAATGTCTTATTGGGGAAGAGTTAAGCTTCCAATTTTTTTTTGCAAATCTAGATCTTGGATAAGAACTACACATCATTAAAATCAACCATAACTGGAAACCCGAACAATGTATATTCTTTCACAAATAATATAAACTGGATAGAAACAAGTAAATAGTGTGTTAATTAGAATAATAATTAGAAATTTATTAAATTCCTTATATTTTCCTCTTGCCTTTACCTCTCTCTCTCTCTCTCTCTCTCTCTCTCTCTCTCTCTCACACACACACACATACACACACACACACACACACACACACTCCACCTCAATCTCCAAACTCCACCTGAACTTCCCAGAAGAAAAACAGGCTTGGAAAGATAAGCTTCACTGAGGTCTTCAAGCGGGGATAAGGTCAGAATTCCCCGACACAGCCCAGAAGCAGACTGCGCAGCTGCTGGCTTACACCGCGCACACGCCCCGAATTCTCCACATGCCCCATCCTTTGCTCCCCACCCTTCTCCTAAGCTCACAACCCGCTCGCTGGCTTGCGGGGGTCTTCCAGAGCCTTCCACCCCACCAGAGGCCTCACAGGTGCAGCGGCCTTAGAGGTTTCCTAACTAGAGCCCCGGGGCTGGGATCCCTCTTGTAGTAAGTCACCCAGACAAATACCTCTCCCAACAGAGGCCCACGCCCTGCCACTCACTTGGTCTCTTTTGAAACAGCTCTGCAGGAAAACTGAGAGGGACCCACAATCTGTCTCTGTGGTTTTCACTCTGGCATCCCTTGGAGGTCACAGAGGACACCTCTAGCCTTGGGTTAATTATTGGGGAAGCAGCCTGCCCCCATTCATTCCTCCGCCAGCTTCAACATTCTGATTTCTTCAACTGCTGGTCACAGGTTTAAGACATCTTCCTGCCCAGGTCATCCTATCCTGAATAATCTACAATTAATTCTATTCTCAGACCAGAAAAATGTTACTAAGTCACTTAACCACAGCAAATTTTCCATTCTGGAGAGGTAGCACATTACTATGGAAATTGGCCATTGGCAAGTACTGTCACAGTGTCAAGCCGTACTGATTTCACTGTCCACCAGAACTCTGAAGTCTCTCTTCTGACACCACGCTGTAAGGCTGGTTGCTAGACAGCCGCACTGGTATTCACGCAGCCCCATCAAATTTGCTCTCTTCCCTGGTGCCCGTGGATCCAGCCCTCTGTGTAGTGATAGCTCCACACACAAGCATTTTGCAGCTTTCAACCAACCACAATTAGGTCGGCTGCCTTCAGTATCTAACTTCAATACACAACTTAGCCAAATCGTTGGTTAAAAACTGGGACCAGTCCTTGGAAAGCATCCTCCAGGGGCTGGAGCCGATCACAAGGACTTCTCCAAGCCGCCACTTCCTCTCCATTTGTTCTGTGCTGACATAGCCCGAGGGCTATTTCCAGGGTGCGTCATGCTTGCCACGCAAGTCCCGCCCACTGAGCCGCACCCCACCCCTGGGTATTATTCTCACTTTCAGCTTTCTTCACACTTCTCTACCAGAGGCCAAGGACAATAAACTTACAAATGCGATGAATAAAAAAAGCATTGGGTTGTATGTACTAAGCTGGTTCTAAAATATGCTGTTTAAAGTCTCAATTTTCATTTAGTCTATTTTACAGCAGCTGTTTTCCAAGAGAAGGTCCCCACAGAAGTGCCAGGAGTCCTGAGTTCGGTGTGAAGCATCTTGCTTCCAAGGTACTCATCAGGCCCACCGTGTCATTCACCATCCTATTGGACACGGTGGCCAGAAAGCCCTCCTCCTCCAGGGAGATGCTCCAGGTCGCTGCTCAGTCCTGCGATCCATCAGCTATGAATGAGGCCGTACTGGAGCCAGTACAGAACCCAGGATAGGACCCAGGGTCTGGACACCCAGATAGGGTCCTGCGGGAAGCCTGAACAGAAAGTCAGGAGACTCTGCCGCATGGTGTCCCAGCTCTGGGGCCACAGGACACTCAAGGAACGGATCTGGGCACTGGTGCTTCTCTTGTGAAATAAAGACAGCATCACGGGCTCCAGGGTGGGTGAGAAATTAAATGAAAGGACCCCGCTGACAAACTGGCCAGGACCACTGCAGGTATCAAATGTACACTGAATTTCCCTTACTCACATAGACAGTCACAGTGTTGGCCTGATCAGAGCAAACTTTAAATGCAGGAGGGAGTAATGTGTGAGTGTACCTCGTATGGCACTACATGATTTTTTAACTAAAAAAGCAATCTAAAAGCCCATTGTAATTTATTTAATATTCCTATTTTTAAAGGGTCACTTCAAATTTTATTTTAAAATACTTTTGCTACAATTCAGTCTTAGGGAATCTAATAAATCTATTTTTGAATTATTTTTTAAATATCTTGCTACTCAAAATGTGCTGTTCAAAATGGCCCAGCAGCCGGGTCCCTGGGAACCTTTGGAAACGTACAGAGCTCAGCACCTCTTACAGCCCCAGGCCATGTGCCCACCACGCTGGGGAGCCGCTTTCACAGGCCGCAGCTCCCTGAGCTTGCTTGCATGTGCCCTGGGCACCGTCTACACAGCTGGCTGGAGCCAGGAGCCAGGTTTTTTATATGGGTAAAACTTGTCTTCACATACTGTATCTCTTATTTTGAAAATCTAATTAGGAGTACAAAAATAAAACAAGAAACAAACTCCTCATTCTTCCATTAAGGTGGCCTAGCTCATAAAAGATTTAATTACTAAGGGGAGGGAACAGCAACAATACATAGCTTTGCTTCCTGAAACCAGAACACAAACAAATACTGACGGGTTAGGCTAATAGGAATTTTACAGGTTAAAGTTTTATTAATTCTCCAAGGGACTGTGTACATTCATCTTTCTAATAACCCACTCCCCTGAGTAAGTGGTGGTAATTTACAACGATGTACTCCAGCATTAGACTTAGAATGAGCACTCCTGCGGGGAGAGAATCACCACTTCACAGGGCGCCACCTACCACCACTCAAATCTTAACAAAAAAGAATTAGAGGACATAACAGAAAACCACCAAGGACAATTAGCAAGGCTGACATACCCCCTGTGCGACATCTTTTGTTGCAGGGAATGAGGTGTTACAGATGCAAAGTACTTAAAAACTACACACTGGAATGAGTGTACACACTGTATCCCTCAAGCATTGTGAGAGAAATTAGCCCGGAGCTCAGCCAAGTCACAGCCTCGGAATTTACTAGGTGTCTCCCATGAGATCTCCCGCCTGGCAGCATCTCCCTCTCCCCTTACTAAGCAAGCGTGAAGAAGCCACGGAGCGCTCAGCCAGCGGAGAGGATCTGACCCACATGTGTGCCGGAAGGGGTGGGAGGGATCGGATTTACCTGCGGGGTCCCGGACCGGTTCCCAGTGCAAGTCACTGTCCTTCTCCTTGATCCACCCACAGAAGCCATGGTCAAAGTTGCAGCTGTGCACAAGGACACCTGCGAGGAAGGGACGGAAGAGGAGATGGCAGACACGACGAGTGACTTGCGGCCCGGGGCCAAGAGTATCACAAGGTCACCTCCCACCCACACTTCACGTATCACAGATGACTTCCGTGAGACCACATGGAAATCACCATCCGTTCTCGGAACAACCATGCGCCACTGCTCAGCTGTGCAAACAGAGCCCTGAGCTTGGCCAAGTCACAGCTTTGTCACATTGTCACTTATAAAATGTGATTTCCTGCTTGCTATTCAAACATCACTGGATTTTTAAATAGAAATGATGATCCATAACTATTTTGACTCAACTGATTTAGCTGAGTTGTAAAATGCACAAAAAGATAATGATGTATAACTTCCCTGGTGGGGGTGGAAAATCTAAAATTTAAAAAATTACTTCAATGAAATGGAAAAAGCAATGGAAGCGCATCACTGCCCACCTGGGTCATCCTTGGCTTCGTCATCTGCGCTGACCCCTCTCTCTATCTCGAATATCTCGAACAGATCATTCGAAGGCTGCCGAGGAACTGCAAGAAAGAGTTTGGTGCTGATCAAAGTGCTCACCTGTAGGGTTCACCCGGCATCACCCGCAAAATTCACACTTCATTGAAGATTCAGCAACTGTGCCCTGAGGTGATTTGCACCATAACATTTATCTGAATATAATTTACAAAAGCAATTTTCAAAACTTTCCACAATTCAACATTAAAATAAGTTCAAAGCCTTCATCTTTCGAATAGCTTTGGGTTTCTGCCAAGATAGTAAATCTCCACCAAATTCTAAACTGTGCCTCTCGGGAGGCCGCTGTAACTGGAAACCCCTCTGGTGGCAGCGAGTGGTTTTCCAGCGGTGGCGTCCCCTCCTGCCCAGTGGACTCCGCACAGGTTACCATCACCCATCAGCCTGGCTTTCTACCCTGAGGCAGGTCCCTTGCTCCTTTGCCATCAAACCCAAGCTCCCTGTGCAGCACCGAGCTCCACCCCACTAAGACACGCGACACGACACCCATTTCACCTCTCTGTCTTATCCCCCTTCCTGCTCAGGAACCTGCCAGAGTTCCCTTCCTTCGTGCCCAGCACACACCTTGAACATCCTGGCCCCGGCCAAGTTAATGCTTCCCCTGGCTTCCTCAGCCGTGTCACAACTGTCTGATCCTCTGCAGTCTCTGACACCTGTGCATTTCCAGGGCACGAGCTGGTGACAAGTGTTCGGTGTGTGCTGACTGAGGAAATGAAGAAACTCATGCACTCGGCCAAAAACACTTCTCAAAGGGCGCTGGTGGGATGGAGTTGGAGAATCCACTTAAAAGCCACTGATTCACGGAAGTCGTTTATATAGTCACTCGGTGCACGTATGATTCCCCAGTGGGCATCAAGAAGACAGGGTGAGTGTAGCACACAAGCCCACAGGACAGGGCTCTCGTGCAGCCTGAATTCTGGGGTAAGCAGGCAGCATGCATGGCGGTGATGAGCACCTTCTCAGCATGCTCTGAGGAGGCTCACAAGGCAAACACCCGGGCCATGTGTGGGAAGAACTCCTGGCCAGCAGCCAGGGGGCTCCCGCCCAGGAGCAGGACTCTGGCTAATTAGCTCCATTAGGCAGGAACACGCCTGCCTGAAGGGCCCTTTTGTCAAAGCTGCTCCTGGCACTTTCAGCAGGAACCTGTATGGCTGACATGCCCACGTGTGCATTAATAATTTGTAGCTCACAACTTCTGGATTTCTTTTCCTTTTTGTTTCAAGAGTGAGAACAGTGACACCTTTCCTCTCAGAGTTACACTCTCCAGCCCCACTGGACGCAGCTGCAGTAGACAGAGGGGCCACCCTGCCCTCTCCATGACTGAGCACTGACACCCAGTCACAGCTCCCCTTTCTTCTCTGGGGCAATGTATCACTTATTTCCTCGAAATATTACAAAGTCCATGCTACGTCCCTCGTGATGTAAGGTTATAAAAAGAGAACAGTTGTGCTTTGACCCTCTCTCTTGTCAGACTTATATCTGAAATGGCATTACCCACTATTGTTCCAGGGCCATGTGACACCTTTCAAGCCCCCCTGCACCATGGACTGCTGCATGCAGCACAGCCCTGATGTAGGTGGTGACACGGTGCCACAGGTACACCGGCACAGGGGCTGCGTTATCAGCAGAGACCCAGGAGGCCCAGCGTGCAAGCATCACTTACATCACGCGGGGAAGACGTGAGCTTTACAGCCAAAAGTCTGGGTGGGGAGGCTCCGGGCAGTGAGGCCCAGAGCCAAAGAGCGCACAGTTTGGGGCAGACCAGGAAGCAAGTGCCATGAGTGAAGGCGAACAGAAAGACTGTGCTGGGCTCAGACACGAAACAGAACCCTAGAGGAGGAGTCACCCCAAGTCTTGTCCAGACCCACAAGTGGAAAACACTGGGTCCCTGGCCTGCAGGAGCGCAGGCGTCGGTTGTCTGAGGAATTCAAAGACCTGACCCGCGGCAGTGAGCAGCTCCAACACTGCTGGCGTATGGCGCTGTGTGCTCTACGCTGGAGGCCCCGCCGTTTACCTAATTCCCCATCCTCACACACCAGGGCACTCAGGGAAGCGGGCTCCCTGGCGGACTGTACAGCTGTCGTGAAAATAGTGAGTGCACGTAGTGGAAAAACCACTGCGGTGATACTAGTCTATCAGTGAACTGTGCACGAGAAGGTAAAAAGACTGAAGACTGATCAGCCCACCAATACGCCAAACACGCTCACCACGGTCACACCGATACTGGAGACACAAGTTACGCTTCTCCTTTGTTGGGACTTTTTTTTCTTTTGTGATTCTGTATTTTTGCATTGCTTGTGAAAAGAAAAATTTAATTATGCAATAATACTTTCCTAAAACACTTAAAGAGCATGATGTCTGCACATACACACAAAGCAACTATGTCTGTCACTTGTTCTTTTTTTAAAAAAGTGTTAAACTGACACATAAAAACCATTAAAACCTGTACATGTGAACAGGGTCCCATAGAATGTTTGCTCTATTTCTATATTAAGTAATGTTTAAATCGAGTCAAACATATCTGGCTTCACGAACATCTGCAGTATCTTTACAGTGAAGAATTTCAAGTCTTCTCTTCTGTGCCTTGAAATGCACACAGAATATTACTGTTTCCAACAAGACAATTGTGTGTGCACCTGTTGTTATATGGGGGGAAATCTGAAACTGAAATCTCTTTGTGAAATCCTTTGATTCAGGGTTCCAGTTTCATCAAAACAGAAAATGTTAATTAAAATAAACAGTCGTGTTGGAAAGCAGAATAACCAGAATGGCGATTGATACATGATTTCTGTGTTTTTCCTTGCCTCATATTTTATCTAATTTTAAATTTAAATAACAATACACACATTTAAAAAACAAAACACACCTGATATTCTCTGTAGTTGGACCATTAATTCTTAGAATTAGAATGGCGTAATTTTAAAAATTAATAAAGGATTCTAGAAATGCTACCAATACAATTCCCCCACTATCTATCCATCCCACCTCCCATTTCAGCCACCCATTTACACAGTCAGTCAAGAAACCCAGCGCCAACTGGCTACGATCAGCCAGCAAAGGGCAAAGAGCTTGCTGTGGAACCAGGAGCACACGCAGGCTAACGGACCTGCAGTAAGAGCTGAGGACAGACATTTGGCTCTCCCCAGAGCGGGGACTGAGATAGAGCAGCTGGAGATGTCGTGGGAGGGTGTGGGGACGGGGTTGGCTAAGCCAGGAGGGCAGCACAGATGTCAAGAACATCTCCGAGAAGCCGGCTTCCGCTAAGGCACAAAGGGCTGTGACAGTAAGGGGCAGAACTTCACACGGGTGTAGCTGTGAGCCCAGGAGAGGCCAGGTGCGGGAAGAGGGGTGCTGCAGAAGCAGGTGGGCCATGGGGGGCCTGAGGGCCTTGCTGACACGTGGGGCTTCATCCTGGCAGAGCCTGCAAACCTCTGTGAGACGAGGAGGGATGGTTTCCCGTGTGCAGTGAACAGGTGCAGTGGGAGCCAGGCCACCCCAAGGTGGTCATGACTAAATTATCCACTAAAGACATTTCCTAAGTGTCTTCTGCTTTAGTCAATGTCTCACCCACCAGAAAATATTCTTGGCTGTTGCTTCTCACAGCATATTGCACAACTAAAGGAAAGGGTGCAAAGGTCCCTAAGCAAGAGGACAGCAGCACAGGACACACCCAAGCTTTTCTGGGATGACTGGGAGAAGGTGGCACTGCCCGTAAGACTCACGGGCCTGCACTGCACTTCCTGCTGAGCATTGTCCCTAGAGATGTGACACCATCCGTAGGGAGCCTGTGTTCAAAAACGAGGCTTCTCAGGTAGCCTAGTGTATACTTTTACCCAGGAAATCTTAAGAGGAAGCGCAGAGAAATAAATGCAAATATTGTCATGCACCCCTCCCTCGCCAAACATGGAAGGGGAAGGTGTCTATGTCACCGTTCTTATATTCCCAAGCGTCTTTCTGGGGGACAGAGGGAGAGACTCTGAGACCCCAGAGCAGAGGTGGGAGGAACAGCAGGGCTTTGTGTAGCTGCCACCACCCTCCACACCCTCCCTGTCCTCACTCCGGATGGGGAGAGGGAGAGAGAGAGAGAAAAAAATAAAAAGCTTGGAAACGAGCTCCTGCAATTTCCTCCACCACATCAGAGAACGCTCTTAGCCATCTACTGATTACTGCAACAAGAAACTGGCTGCCGGGCCCCACAGAAGTGAGACTGCTCGGCGACCTTCTCATCGCAGAGAGTTAAGAAGAGAAGCAGGACTACTGGGGGAAATTAAATCCTGCTGCCCGGCAGAACACAAACCCCGCCACCCGGTAACCAGGCCGAGCTCTGTGCCACGCTCCTGCCTCTTCTGTGTCCTGCACACCTCCGCTGAAGAACCAGGACCGCCCCGCGGCACTCCCTGGAGAAGTGCCAGGGCAAAGGGAGAGCCGAGCACCAGCTGCTTTCTAAGCAGGGCCTGAAGGCGCCTAAGCCAGAATTGCCCTAAGGAGAGAACGTCTCTCATAGGCTCGTCCTCCTCCCTCTGCAAAATCAAAGGCCACAGCGCAGACCAGGTCTCCCAGGATCAGGCTGGGCACCTGCACCCCAGAGTCAGGCAGCTCCCCAAGGCTGCCTGGCCTAAGCACAACACAAATACCCCTGGGCGTGAGCAGCAGACACTACCTGAGTAGAGAGAGAGGTGTCCACTGAGAGGAAGCAAGGACAGCTTCATTTCTGCTCCTCACCAAACCACTGTGCAAGCTCATCCAGACAGACTCCTCTCTGCAAAGGCCACTGACATAATTTTCACAGTAAAAAAGCTGCGGCAATGCTGTCTTTATTTCAAACATCGCAGCTGTTTCCCTTGGCCCTGTAAACACCTGGGCGAAACACAATCTCGCAATTATTCAGTAGAAGCAAATTTCTATTTTCATTTGCTCTGCTCACGCAATAGCCCACATTTACAAATTGTTTCAAAAAGCTCTGGTCAGCCAAAAATAACATTCAAGTTATAACGAACTCTAAAAAAGC